ATATACTTTGAGACAAAAACTACTTTTTAAAAATATTCATTTATAGATACTTATTTTAAAAAAATATTTGAATATTGTTAAGTAAAAAAAGTATTTGATTACCAAATATATATCGTTAAAAGAAGTTTTTTTTATGAATACTTTCAAATTATTCATAAAATATTTATTTTGCCTTTTAAATTACCTAAACCGATTTTCATGTTTATTTGTTAATTTTAGAAAGCATTTCACAAATGATCATTTGTTGCGACTATAAATTACTCATCGGTTTTCTTTTTCAAGGTATTTGAATTTTCAGTTGTGCATAACTCAATAAAAAGCGACGCGAAATCTATAATGAAAATAATTTCAAACAACATATGGCTACGAACTTGGACACAAGCTTCTTCTAAGCTAAACGAAATTATAAACACCATCATCGTATGGCTCTAGTCACCGGACATCTCCAGAAAAATAGAAACCACAATCATCAGAATATGCGATTTGGACAACAACCAATAACCCACCAGTATATTCTGTTGAATAGGAATGACCCCCTTATATGCGCCAGTTGTAGCGCACCTCCCAAAATTAAACAGGAATGCCTCTCGTTTGAAACGGATAAACGAGAAGCAGCTAGGAGTAAGTACCAAATATTCTTTCTGAAGCCTATCATCCAGACAACATAAAAAACCCAAATATCTTTATAATTAAGACCAATTCAATCAATCCTCCGTGACTTGATACTTGTATACTAATATTAATACAATTTAAGATATAACGTAAACCTTTATAAAGTCGTTGCAGCCAATGACGCCGAAGCTTTAAATAAAAAAAAAAATTCAAACAAAAAAATGTTTATATTATTTTATTTTTTATTTATTTTTTTACACTGTTAATGTTAAAATAGAAAATATATAAACTAAAAGAATACGTATTTGAAAACTAATATTTACTCTAAGACCTAAGTACAGATACCTAGAGGAAGTATTTAAAATAGGTACCAATATGTATTTTAGTGCTTAAAAAGTATTTGAATACTTTTACTCGAGTAGGTACTTTACAAATGATTCTCGATGTAGTTGTCTAAAATAAACATAGGCTCAAACAAATCAACAAACATATTTTAATCAAAATAAAAGAAGTTATCTTATAATTTAAAAAATACATAGGTACATCATTATCACGAGGCGTTCATAATTATACCAACATCCCTGACAGACAGAAATCAAAATAAACATTGAACTATCAAAAACAAAAACAAAATTTACTACATATTAAATACAACAAACCTAATTATGAGTCAAATATCTAAGGGTGTCTTAAACAAAATACTGTATTAAAAGTAATGATTGAAAACTAATTTATGATGCAATTTGACAGATGCTGCAAGTCGGGTTTGTGTGCGATGTGTAGAATAATATACTAATATCTATATTCCAGTCACGTATGTTTTGATCTAGCAGTCCATTGTTTCGAATGTTCTTAGTTAAAACATAGAATTTTCTTAAGATAAAATAAAATGTCACAGCACAAAATATGGTTTGCCTTTTTTTTAATAAGACGTGTTTCAATGAGTTTAAAATATGATAATTCGCACATTTTGTATTTTTATTTAAATCTAATATTATTTACATACATAATATATTTTTAATAACTCTTGAAATAAATTATTCACAAATATTATATAATTTTCAATATGTTAAACAAATAATTTTTGATTTCTGTTATTTTTATTTAGATATATATATTTAAAAATACAATATATTTGCATCTATGAGTTTAACTGAACTTTTTTTCTAAACTATTTTAATAATAATTATGAACTCAAAATGGAACTAAGAAAAAAATATATAAATTTCATAAAATTAATCAACTCTATTACTATAACTCAATGTGATCGAATCTATAATTGTATAATGTTAATATCTGATGTGGCGGGCCACGTGCAATTTATTGTACATTTAATGGTATTTGTAGGAGTCGTTTCAAATTAATATTTGAAACAGAATTCTATAAGAATTATGTACTAAAGGAACGTTTGTCATACTAAATTTTAGAACCTAGTAATTTTCAACAGAATAATAAACGTGTAAGTTATCTCCCCGTAATTAAATGAAAAGTAAAATTTATTTGATCTCAAAATGCTCTATGAAACACTCTTCTGTTATTGAAATCTCTTTCTGATTTTTCTTAATGCAATTTTCGACAATTTTTGGCAACATTTGTTATTTTTGTATGCTTAACAAATTTAGATTCATACTTAAGTTGATAATTTATAAAAGAAATAAACCCAATGTATACATGACCAATTTATTTTATTTATAATAAGCTCTTAGAACAGTGTGGAATTAATCACATGTTCAAAATGATATATGTATGTGTCGTAACAGAAAATTAACGAGCCAATTATACTGAAATATATCCATTTGATTTTCAATTTTTTTTTTTTTGGTTTGAATATTAAGTTTCAAAATCCTAAACTATTTTCTTTCTATGTGATATCAGATAAACAATTTATTCATAAGCCTAATATTGGTATTTTCATCAATGCTATTTTTGTATCATTGTATGTTATTACAATATTAGAATACTATTATGTTACTTAAATATTTCATGAAATATTCATTTAAATAAGTACCTGTATCACAAGTTATTAAAATAATATTATCAATCAAATCAAAACCAAAATATATATTTGATTTTAAAAATGATCCACAACACAATATACTGTTATCATTTTTATTTCTAACAAACTCTGTAAATTTACCTCATATTAAACTTTGGAGTACCTATATTGAAACGTGTTATTTCCATAAAAAAAATGAAAACATTTTGAACCGACATTAATTTAGGTGCGTAATTATTACGTAATATTTTAATGGTTATTTTTTATGTCATCAAGAAATCTTAAGACAATTTGTAATTATTTTAATTTCTGAATTTCATCGTTGACAACAATCGCTGAAACATAATACCTGCATTGCATTGCCATAATTTGTCCTCACGGTTATATTAAGACAAAATATAGTGATAATATTATTAAATTTTAAGTGTCATAAATGTTCTGATGCTCGTTAGTTGTGAGGACTGAGGACGTTAGGTAAATGTTATTTCGGACGGTTTTTCATATCAACCACGTGCGGTTATCTTTTCCATCTATGCAAGCACGTAATACGTTATGAGAAAACCGTTTCCACTTTCCAGTTTTATAGAAATAGGGTCTTCGAACACATTTACATTACATTAAACGAGTGTGGATATAGTAACATCCAAGATGCATTACAATTGATTAATATTAACGGGTACAGTCATAAAAGAGATAAAATGAATTCCCTTAATTTTGAGAACGGCTTTTATGAGTAGTGTTCAGCTAAACCAAAAAAATTGTTTTTGAGATAAAAACCACCAATTTACAGTTGTTGTACGCTGTTATTTCTCCGCATAATTACAAGTTCACTGGTATCTCGCCGAGAGTACCTACGTTGATTATTATTTACGATAACGTAAACGATGGACCTTTTGCAGGAACCAATTTTTTCAAACAATTTTAATATTATTATAAAAAGTAAAAGTTATTAATGTTGACAATCATTATTGTTCAGTGATGTTGTGTTTACATATTAATTAGGCTTAGTGGAAAAAAAATCATTTGATTTTTGACATTATATTCACACTCAGATAGTCAGCTCTACACCAAAATATATTATATTCTTATTTTTTATCTTAATATTTAACAAAATAATAAATAAGACAAAAATGTCCCTAACTCACAGTTGGTCATAAATCATAACATACTCACATAAACTGTAATATTCACAATAAATATTTTGTATATTCTTAAACAAACATAGAAGATGTTAAATACATTATTCTATTATGCATTTTACATTTATAGAAAAACGTCTCCTATCGGACACCTCTAAAATATATATAACATCCAAAAAGTAAAACACACAAACGTCCTACTAACTGAACTCTCTGAAACAGGCACCCCTGAATAGCGGACAAATTTCAGCTACCGACTAGAGTAGTGCGGTGTTAAGAAGTTTCACTGTAATCTTTTTAACAATAGGTAGACTATTACAATAAACTAATAGCTTCCAATGATCACTGCAACTACCATGAGTTTTCTAAAAATGTTATTTTGAAGACTTTAATTTTGTTTATTACTATATTACTTCAGTAACGCCATATTAATTTAAGAACATTTTTTTGTCAAAATATCAACTTGTGAAATATGTATTAAAAAAACAAGGAAATAAAAAATTAAAGACTCCAAATATATGGTCAATTCTTCTGATCAAGCACCCCAATAAAATTATTTATTATTTTCAACTAATTTTTCCAGATATAAATTATGATGTAGGACATTCACTTTTCGGTTCAGCTAAATTATTAAATTGTTTCAATAATCTTAATCAATACTTCTATAACTTCCATCAATTATAACTCCTTAGTGTATGTCAGCTATAGAACGCTACACAAAGACTTAAATATTCAAACCCTATCCACACTGGCTCCATACTATCAGGTACCCATACAAATTACAAAGTTCGAGTACCTGCCTCTAAGTATACATATGAAACCACTCTAATTCGGTATTTATCAATATTATAATATTGTTCCCGATTATCCACCTTGTCATCACGAAGAAAATGTTCTGCAATATACTTAATATTTAACTCTAAATAACTATATACCCATGCAAATTATATTTGAAGTAATTTCAGTAGAATTGCCTCATTCATCGTGTCACCATGTGTATACAATATACATGACGTATATTTTATGTTCTAAGCTGGCAAGTATTTTATTAAGCAGATGTTATGAATATTTTATTTTAATTAATTGATAAAACCAATCAACTGAATTTATATACGTATATTATATGGGACCACATTGTAATTTTCGTTAAAAAATAAAAATCATAGTTTAGGCTATAGAACATGAAATGAATAAATGAAATTTAAAATTTAACATGAAGCTCATACAATATTCTAAAAATATAATATACTGACCTGATATCAACAATTTGGTGAATGAGTATTTGACATTTTTAAACTAAATATCCAGCATGGTCTTTTACGAAGCTGAAACAAACAAAAACACATTTGATTAGGCATGATAAATTATTTAACGACTAATTAAACAAATGGGCAATACCACCAGATATTTAATCATTTAAACAACATTTAAAAAATAATTTAATGAGACATTGTACCTATTATCAGTTTAGCACAAACCATGTATAATTTCGACTTTTTTATAATTCAATATCTTATTAAATGTACTTTATGTATTTATTCAAAAGTCTTTTAATTTAAAATTTTTATAAAATATCTATTATATTTTAAGCTATAAAAATGAATACTAGATATTAAAAAAGTTATTAGAATATTCGTGAGCAAAATTAGCTTATCGCAATAACATGAAATTATTTTCATCATTGAATAATTATTATTTTAAAAGTATTAGACGTTATAGTATATGCGACGCGCATATTTCTCATATTGAATATTTTTATTACAATGTTACAATATTGACTTGCTGAGTAAAAATTATTTAATTTATTGGAAAATACAATTTAGAACAGAAAACTAAACTCAAAAAGTATTAAAACATATTATAGAACCTTAAAATTGTAGACAAACTGTATTTGTTCTTATTTTGCTAAAAACGTGTAATTAGCTTATTTTAATAAAATCGATCCCATCAATTAATACATTTATTTATTATTGATTTAGTTTTAAATATTTTATAGTTATAAATGAGCAGACAAGTTGTACAGTAAGTTTTAAAATATTTGTTAATTGGTAAACTTAAATTAATACTAATTTTCGTTTTATTTCTAGTTTATTTTTAAACCAAAAACCACTAAATTAAATTAATTAATGTCGTTACCGATTTAAGATTTAAATGCCCACTCATATCATATTTTTTTTTAAATAATCCAGACAGAAGAGGAGGTCGTTGATGAAAACAGCTTCTGTACAAGTTGCTTAACATGTAAGTAAGTACCTAAATAAATGATTAGTCATATAAATCAATATTTTTATTTTCAGCATTAAAAATTCCAACTATGGAATTATCTTAAAACATGCTTAAAATGATTGTAGATTTGTTTAGTGGTTTACTTGTATTTATATTATATACATAACATACAACATGAAAATGTCCAATAAGAACGAAGACGAAGTATATGAATGGTCGGATTTAAGACCATGCCCTGGAGACATATTCTTATTGGTGGGAGGGAAGGGAGGAGATAAGAAAAAATGACACTCAAGATTTTATTCTCCTTTGACATTTTTGACTAAACATATTTCACAGATCCCATTTACTGTTCATGTATACAGTATGCTTCTACAATTCTACGCCTATATAGTGAGCACCAGAAACGTAAATCACATTTGCATTTATTTAACAAATAGGTTGATTGTGAAAAGCCATTACTTATATCATTGACAATGAACACATAAGTCTTCATCGATATGACACTCAAGTATTAAGTACATTGTAACATTTCCTTTTGTGAAAAAAAATAGATCGATGTTATTTAGCATCAATAAAATATTATGATGAATACTTGTCAAATATAGGTATTTTTCAAAATTTAAGAACCAATTTTTTTTTTAAGCTTAATTCAATATATCTTATGATTTTCTTATAATAAGTAATATGACTTGTGTTCAATGTAAATAATATAAAATAGGATCAGAAAAATGTGTAAGCATAATAAATCAAATTAGGCTATTGTAGTGAGTGTGATTAAAAATATTCTAGTTCCACGTTGTTAAAAAAAACACAGTGAGTTACGTTACACAACCTTAAGATTACATCCTTAACAATTGGTATTTTTGGGTCTTTTATTTGTTGTGATTTATTTATAAATAACAATAGTGTTCATTATATTATTGAACAATGTATATAAATACAAAATATGAAATTCACTCATCCTTAAATGTTAAGGTGGTCGGTTGCCAACTGTTTTATTTAATATCATATTTCTACAATTATTATGACGCAGTGATGCGTTTTGAATAATAAAAACTGATTTGAGATTATTTTTTTGAAGTGAACAGGATTTTAATATGATAAAAAGAAACTGTTTTTCTAATTCTAAAATATTATATTTGGACACAGTTATATCATTTGTTTACAAAATATATCATTATTATCATATGAAATATATAACATAATATATAAATATATATATTGTATAATAAAGAATTCAAATTCAAACAAATCATATTATACTATATATTTTATTTATTATTTTAAGTAAACATATAATGTGTATTTTTTTTATTTGTCCTTGAAATTTTTTGGTTTAGATATCACGACTATTAAAATAAGTTCATGGTGGGGGGGAGGGGGCACATGCACCATATATGCAATCTCGTAGAATATGCTAGTATAGTTGATTTTGTTAACTGCAAAAAATCATACAAGCGTTAATAATTATTACTATACAATATTACAAATAATATAAACAATATCGGTACAACTGAGTCTCCGCTATCTAACCGTCTTCACGAGTATTTGCCTGTGAGAGTAAACAACAGTTGGCTGTTCAGATTGTGATAACTTGGGTATTTAGAACTTAGAAACGAATATATTGTGTAGTTGCACGATAATTATTATTAACGTTTACTAAGCTACGAAAAGCGTAAGTACAACAAATAACAATATATCGAGTAACGTAAACAAAACAAGTCAGAAAAGCTCACTCTGAGGCCGTGCTAAAGTCCCGGTTTCTAAATGCATTTTAATACAAAGCTATAAACTATAGTTCCGTGTACAAATTAAAACAAATTTGGTTTCATATTTTGTTATCAATTGATAATGTTCTTAATATATTCTGGTACTAATCCATAATAATGCTCATATGCTGCTGTACCTACCTATATTTAATACTGACTCATATAGATGTACTTTGAATAGAACCGTTGTTAAATTTGAACCCCAACAATGGAGCACTGTGATGGACTATTATATGACTACGATGGCTATTAATAAATAACATAATATCGACAATTGTAAGTCGTAACTGCTATGTGCTGGTATATTGCTGGTAACTTACAGAGGGATGTACGGACACAGCGGGGTTCTAACAAACTTATGTTTAGAAAAATTCAGTTAAATATTATTATAACTGTACAACAGAAAACTATACCCGATAAAGGCTGACTACAATAGGGATAGGGAAGTACGTACCCTCTGCCTTAATAAAAGTCCGAGAAAACGTTTAAAAACAAACTCAATCTCTGAGAACAGAGATATTTCATCGTTTCCGGAAACAGTGCTTTGAAAGTGCTATTATAATAACATTATAATGATTAATTATAACTACTCATAAGCAATTAATCGGCACTCGATATTGACTAGTTGAATAGCGGAGAAACACGCCTCATACTGTAATGATTTATGTATACATTGTGTTGTAAGTGTACTACACTGAACCATGCAGTAATTAAGTTTCCAAAGGGCTCGTTTATTGTTCAATAAATTATTATTGTTTTGCATTATTATTATCCTCATCATCACCATATCATATGTTTCGGTTTATTTAAAATCTATTTCTACTACCATCAAATAAATGTACGGACACGTAATTTGATGACGTAATATCGTAATGCGCGGTTTAAACTGCTGTTGAAAAATTGAAAATTTCAAACTATTTCCGTCGTCATCGTAGCGGTACTCTAACAATATAACATAATGGATATTTGGAACAGCTTTGAATTCTTAAACGTTTATACTTTGGGTAAAAAAAAAAATACGCTGTTTTTTCAATGCAAATTGGTTTTTATTCAGACACCTATTTAGTATTGAACACACGGGGCGGGCTATCAAATCAAATGGATAAGAACTAATTGGCTTAGGGATTCTCGGCGTTGGCGGCGGCGGTGGCGGGTAATGCGATGGGAAAATAAAAACTCCTCAGATTCTTCTCCATTTGAAGGGTGGTGGTAGGACGGGGGAGGGTGACGCGAAGACGATGTGACACAGATAACATTGAGTGGATTTTTTTTTTATTTATTCCGCTCGTTTTGCCCGCAGTTTTTCGTACGGTAGGCGGGGATGGTCGCAGTGTGGGGGGGGCCGGCGGCCGCCGGTGGGGGTGACGTCTGCACAGTGCACACGCTGTAATCCTCTCAGGCTCATTATTACGTCGGCGAATTTAAATTAAAAATATATTATAGAGATCCTGGATACGCGCATTACTAAGTACACTCGGTCGAAAATCCTCCACACCTCTTTGCATTTATAATAATATAATTTTGATGTAAACCCTTTGTTGACCGTAAAGAGATTTACGCGAGTGGATTTCGGTTAGTGCGCGTGCACGATACCTACGTCATAGTTGTTGTTGGTACCTGCTATTATACACATAAGCGCCATCGCTGGTATAATATCATACACACATACATATTACAATAATAATATTATATGCTTTATCGATTACTTCATTAAGGCATACTTGGCGTGCGGTGTGCGTTTACATCCGGTGAATGGCTAACGGATATCGGCTAACCGTTTTCAGGAAGGCGCTGTGCGTTTTTGTTGGTCGGGAAACTATTGCCAAATGGAAATTCGTACGGAGGGTATAAGTTCTCACAGCAAGACGGTAGGTGCGTATAACATAGCGTGTTATTATACTTATGGCGTTTTTGGTTTTCTTTTCTATTTTTCGGGAATCTTGCAGGTAAAATGTTATTATTATGCCAACAGAAATAACGCCCCACGCACATACACATTCTTATAACATACTGTTAACGGTACCGTAGTCGCGGTATTCACGTAGTCTTTATCGATAACAATAATCCAGCTAATACATTAACATCGTCGGACATACTGCCTTATTTTTTCAATAAAAGAATATGAGATAAAATTCTAGTCAGATTCATTGCGGGTGCTTTATTTTATTAAACACGTTGTGTTAACATAATTCCATTTATACGGAGTCTCGTAAAAATAAATAAACAACGAGCAACAAAATATATCTTGCAAAAGCACTATTATTATTATAGAGATGTGAAAAAAAAATGAAAACTTTTAATTAACACAATTGTTCAATTTAAGATTT